GGCTAAATTGAATGATAGCGCCTTTTACGCGACGCAGATCGATAGATTGAACGCTCCTGAGTCGACTCTCGAGGTATCGAACGGATCGATTCGGCCACTGTGTGTGTGTGTAAACAAGAACAGTCGCGACGCTCCGGTTTGGTGGCTGTGAGCACTCGGCGAAGTTTGGAGGTCTGCCGTGGCAAGGTAAGTGACTAAAACAGTTCGAAAAAAATATTCCAAGCTAGAATGAACCTTCGAGAATGCTGATCAATCAATATTTTGGTGTATTTTGAGTGTTGCCTTACTCAATAATGCCGTGGAATAGTTGATTTCCAGGGACATCACTGCCGGGTCAGGAAATTCTGTTTTCGCAACTCTGTTCTTTCACGATAAATACATCTCCAGAGTAACATTTCGAATTGAAAACACAGTAGCCATTACAATATTGAATAGTTTTGGCTTGAATTAGTTTCAAAACGTATAAAATCTCAGCTATTTGAGAAATGAGAAGTTGTGTTATTTTGCTGTCTTTGTGAGGTTAGAATGTGATGTAATTATGTCCACAAAATGTGAAAATTATATGTTTTGTATTCGTTTTGGTGTACGGAGTGTAATCTGTAGTCGTTTCTGAAATTTTGATTTGGGTTTGAACCCTTTAGGTTAGGTTGTCAAACTTGGGATACACCAGAAAAGTACATATGTTAGTACACATCCACTTGTTTTTTTTATTTCTAGTTTCAGTTGGTTATTGTTTTCTCTCATAATTATCTTCGTTTTATCCTCCTTATTGTTGCCCCTGTACTTATTCATTTACTTTCTTCACCAGAGAACAAATCCAAGATGCCAATTGATGCCCTTCGGTTTTACCACAAGGGGTTTCAGACTGTTTTACCCCAAAACAATGTGGACTCTGATGGGTCTGACGATGATGATGCTGAAGGGGCTCACTCTCAAACTAAAGACCATGTGTTGACGGAGGTTCATATGAATGTCTCATCCAATGCGTCATCATCAGAAATGTCTGAATCGAGATGGCCCCGGAGTTGTACATCTGATTCACTGACGATCCCCCCGTCTCCTGAATACAAGGTAAATATTATTTGTTTTTCTCAGTATTCCTTATAAAATCTTTGCACTGTTTTGCCAAGTTTCAATGTGTTTGTTTCACAGGTTGGATACAGGAAGAAGGAAAATGCAAGGATATCAAACTGTAAAATACGGGACAGATATCAGACTGAGAAAAAAGAAAACAAAGGTAATTTGAAAGCTGGTTTTACTGTTGAACCCTTTTCAGTAAACAGTTGCTGCACTTTTGATATCATTGTAGGAAAACTAATTTTACATATTATATTTTTCATTTTTAGATCCAAACAAACCTGGTAATCTAAAATATAATTCTGGGAGGAGCAGGCGGCCACTTTTTGATTTATCATCTCCAAAATTTGCTGCAGTCAAAGGCAGTGGTAATATTTTCACATCATCTCCAAATGCCAACAATCTTTCGAATATGAGTCTTGATTTTTCTCCTATTGCTGGAAACAAGAAGAGAGAAGAAAGTGGGGACAGCGATTATTATCAGCCTGTGCTGTCATTCTCAGATAGTGATCCTGCGTTGTTGCAAGAGTCTGGTTAGAATACCTTGTTCTTGATTGTTTTCTGAAAATGTCTAACCAATTTCATTCCTGCTTTATTACTTTTCAATCTAAGCCTTGTTTTCTTTTCTAGATGATAGTGAAAAGCTGCTTTCTTGCTCTGAGAGTGCTGCCAGAACAAGAGTCTTTGGTCAAATGACAGATGCTTCCACCAAAACAGATCCCAAACAAGTCACAAAGAATAAAGACCTGAATTCTAAAGGTAATACTCGACCTGGTAATCTCACATCCGTTTGTAGCATTATCACAATATCGGGGCACTACAGAAAAATGCTTATTTTTCTTTCTTTTTTATTTCAGCTGCTAGATCTTCAGCTCTGAGCTCAAGTGATTCTGATGTACCTCTCATAAACTATGGTAAGCTATAAATTTTGTATCTCCCTTACATCATAATCTTGTCCACTTTATATTTTGTTTACATATCCTCCAATCTAAAATTTTACTTTTTTCTTTTTCAGTTGAAAGTTTGAAACGCAAAGTTGTGACATCACATGATTCAACTGCCAGTGAGTTTGTTTGATTTGCAATCTATTTTATAACTAAATCACGACTACCTTCATACAAATAAAATCACACTTTTGCTAATAGTTTTCTTCTTCTGTTTCCAGGCGCTGACTCTGATCAATCACATGACAATCAAACCACTAACCCCTCTGCTGCTCCAAAAATTCTCTCAAATTTAGCTGTATCTGAAAGCAAAACAACTGGAGCTAAAGCATCTAATAATTTACAACAAAATTCTCGTCCTCAGAGACAATTCCAAAAGGATCCAGTCAGTGAGCCAAATCATAAATCTGGTGAGATTACAGCATATTTCTTCTGGTTGCAAAGTTAATTATGTAAATATCAGCTTTATTCCTACCTTACTCACCCCTGTTTTTTTCT